GTGTGTGTGTGTGTGTGTGTGTGTGTGTGTGTGTGTGTGTGTGACTGGCATGCCCACACAAGCCAGAAGAATTGGATCCCTTGGAGCTAGACTTAGAGGCAGTTGTGATCTGCTCAATGTGGGCACTGGAAATTGAACTCTGGTCCTGTGAAAGAGCAGTATGTACTCTTAACCATTGAGCTATCTCTCCAGCTCCCTTTTTTTTTTTTTTAAGGGAAATGTTGAGGAAATTAAATTTGACAGAATTTGAACAGAGAACAAGCTGCAGGTTGGGTGGCCTCAATCAGCAGAGGTTCAACAAGCTCCTCTCCACTGCCCTGGCAGGCAGCATTTATGGACAGAAGTGAAATTGGGGTACAGAACAGCTTGATTGGTTGCAGACCAGAGATTGCCTTGTTTGAGCATGCTCTGATGTCTTGGCAGTCAGTGATTAAGTGAAGCTGGCTGCTGTGATTAACTGAGATTCAGCTATTCATTACAAAGTGTACTGTTAAGTTAGACTTGTCATTTGGTTTGCACAGCAAGATTGCATTTGGCTATATAGAGGGTTGAGGTCTCAGATCAAATTCAATTCAACTTACCTAGTATTTCATGTCACATATATAAAAATGCTTACAATATCCCCTTCTAATACCAATTTATCTACTGTTAAGACTTGAGCTACCCCAAATCTTTAGTTTCAAAACTACTTTAACTTAATATCCTACCTCACTCATTTTTTTCCCTAAAAAATAATTGTGCATGGAGAGCCATAGGTATGCATTAGATTGCCCAAGATGAGATTACAGGGACACAGAAAGAAAACACGAGTGCTGGCATTTAGACCTCATAGAGGAACATGAGCCAGCAAAGGAGGCCATGTGATGGCCAGAGAGGCAGAATACCCAGGAGTGTGGCATCCCAGAACCACAGGAACAGTTTCAGGAAGGAGAGCTTGCTTACAAATGTTGGTTTCAGTTATTCCCATATGTGACTTCATATGGAAGGGCTTTGTGACTAGTTCAGGCTGATAAACTGACAATGACAAGTGACACTTGTTCCTGGAGCCTGTGTCAATACTAGGCCTTCTGGAGGTCTCTCTGTGTGGCAGGGTGCTCAGCAATGTTTAAAACAATGTCTGCTCCATAACCTTACAGAAGTGTGGGTCCTACCATCTGTAGCCTCTGACTTTTTAACTTTATAGTCTTGAAAATCCTAGAAATAATAAAATAATTTTAGTAGCAGTAAAAACTTAACCTCATTAAATATGTATCGAAAACTCTTACAGGTTTTGATGGCCACCTGGGTTTATTCTTGCAATGAAGAAAGGCTCTGAACAAAAAAAGTTCTTCAAAGCAAAGATGCCACTGTCATCTCACTTTTCTGGTCCATCCTCTCTAACATCCAATATGAGATCAAGGTCACTTTCACCTTTAATTGGATCTGAGACTCTGCCTTTTCATTCTGGTGGACAGTGGCCTGTGCGAGTTGAGCTTACAGATGAGAACAGTGTGCATTTGGAATCCCAAGACCATAAAGGTACTGCTTTTTAATCTAAGAATTTATCTGACTTTACACATAGAGATGGAAAATACTGAACTTGTCTTTTGGACCCACTGTAACACCCATCCTGAACTGAATTACTGTTTTTATTCGTGGAGATTGTGTAAGAACAGGGAGAGGACTTGAGGCTTTTGGATGAGGGTAAAGGTGTCTGTGAAGAGATCCAGAGTTGGGAATTTACCAGAAAGAGGAAGTTTACTTCTTGTAGAAAGAGAGTTCTTTCAAACTCCTTCTAGAAATTTGCATTCACCCTTAGGCTTAGTTGAGAGTGGAATGCTTTCAAGGTAGAGTTCAGTATAAAGATGATGGCCATGCATTGGCTATTGCAGTCTGATTTTCAAACTGCTTATCTGTGAGTGGATAGAGTTCTACTTACGGGACAAACATTCATTCCACCAGAATTTTTAAAAGTTTTTTTTTTTTTCTTAAAAACATTCTGTTGTTCTAGGATTCTGTTTCAGAAATGCCTTATCTTTGCCAGATCATGAAATCACAGCCATCAACTTTTGTTGACTCAAATACCTGATCATTTTGTTTAAAATACTGTCAGCCTTGGGTTTATACTATATACCTTTACTGCCTATTGGGCCATGGTTATTTCTGAATAGATTGTTACTCCAGAATATTAGTAATTTCTATGCCTAGAGCCAACAAAAAAAAAGAAAAAAGCCATTTTATTTATACTCAAAATAAATAGGACTGGAGAGATGGCTCAGCGGTTAAGAGCACTGGCTGCTCTTTGAGAGGGCCTGGGTTTGATTCCCAGCACCCACATGACAGCTGACAGTTGTCTGTAACTCCAATTCCAAGGGATCTAACATTGCTTTCTGACCTCCTCAGGCACTGCACAACATGGGTGCACTTACACATATGCAGGAACTACACTCATAAACATAAAAATAATACATAAAATATTTTTTAAAAATAAATAAATTTAATATTAACTTCAAAAATTATTATAGGGAACCTTGACCCACAGACTAGGTATCAACCCAGGATTAACTATTCTGACACGAAGTAAGAACCAGGTAATGATTATCTTTTTATGGGTACTTTTATGAAATATAATGCACAGGCTAGAGAGATGGCTTAGTGGTTAAGAGCACTGACAGCTCTTGCAGAGAACCCAAGTTCAATTCCCAGCACCCACATGGCAGCTAACAACCATCCGTAACTCCAGTTCCAGGGGATCTGATGTCCTCTTCTGACTTCTGCAGGTACTGCACAACACGGGTTCACTTTCATACATGCATGTTATACACTCATACACATAAAACTAAAATAATAAATAAAATATTTTTAAAAAGAAAGCAATACAGCTTTGATAATCTGACAGCAGTATCGTCAAAGATCTGTTACTAACAAGTTAGTGTGTCTATAAAGTATGTTATGATAATGATTCTTGCTATTTAATAAAGCAATAGATGTAATTTCTCCTTGTAAAAATAAGGAAATAGAATTTTTAAATATATTTATGATTCTTAGTTTTACATTATCTTTCATAAATAAACAACTAAATAGTACCAGGTTTGTTTTTTTTTTTAACCATCTTGAAAATAGTGCTTAGAAATAAACCTTGGTGCTGCATCTAGTTGAACGTGAAATGTCTCGAAGCTAAGCAGGGTCAGGCCTCATTAGCACTTGAGTGGGAAAGTGCAACTTTGGGGGCCAACAAATGGCTCATCAGGTACAAATGCCTGCCATGCAGACTGGAGGGCCTGAGTTTAATCTCTGGGACCCACAGTAGAAGGCGAGAAGCAACTCCTAAAAGTTGTCATCTGACTTCCACAGGTGTGCCATGGCATATCCACACTCATGTGTATCACACACACTATTAAGAGAAAATAAAATACAGGTTTTGAATTTATCTGCTTGAGTTGAAGTTATGGATTTGTCACATACTACTTACAGTATATTGAGCAAATGATTCATTTATAAATGAGAATATTAATAATTTCTGTGTCAAAGGTTTATTATACAGATTAAAAATGTAAATGTAAAACATTTAGCATGAAACTTGATTAGCCAAACCTAATGGACTATAACTGTTACCATTATAATGAAGTGATGTAAAGTAGCAAAGTAAGTTGTGATTAGAGCTAGTCAAAATATTGTTTTTTATGTTTGCATAAATTAAGATTGTTTTGTATATAGCATAAAAATTATTTGTGGTGGGGGTGGGAGAGAAAGAGAAATTCATGCCTCCCTCTTCTGATAATGATCCATTTCTGTGATTTCAGGAGATGATCTGTATGTAGGAGTTCGATATATTACAGAGGCCCTCATTAAAAAACTCACTAAACAGGACAATTTGGCCTTGGTAAAATCTCTGAACCTTTCACTTTCTAAAGATGGTGGCAAGAAATTTAGGGTAAGTTACCAACAATTTCTGACATAGATACTGGTTTCATTTTTTTATGCTTTAAGCCCACCAGAATTGTTTTTGGAGTATCTTTTTTTCCCTCCAGTGATATTTGTAATGAGTTAGCCACATCCAGTTTTTACTTCAGAGTTGCATTTCTCACTTGTAGGAAGTTTCTCTTCACTGTTAGGACCTCCTTAGACATACGCTGGCAGCGTTGTGTCACTTTTGCCACAGCTTTCTGAACTCAAACGGTTTATTCATATTTCGTTGTTGTTGTTCATTTTATTTTGCTTTGGTCTCAGTTGATGGTTGTATGGCCTCCGTGCTTTGCAACCTTCTGTGAGGTCAGCTATCACAGAGGGAGCAAAGGGAGAGCAAAGCTGCCCACCTCCTGGCAGCCGGGAGGGAATGAGGGGCCTGGGTGTCCTGCCTTTTTTCTTGAATGTCATCATCATGTTACCTAATTTGCACAGACCTTTAATTGTTTCCAGTGAAAGTTCTACATCGGAAGTATAACATCTCCATATGTGTAGGAGCCTATTACCAATATTCTGTACATTATTGACTCTAGAGAAGATACTGGCAAGTCATGGATCCCAGTCAAGATTATGTTCCTTTACTATTTTTATAAATAGCTTTATTGGGATACAGCCACACTAAGTTGTTCACATTTTCTATAGCTAGTTTTACACTATAATAAAACAGTATAGGTGGCCCACAGAAACGAAAGTAACTTTCTATCTGGCCTTCTCTAGAAAGGTTTGCTAACTTTGCTCTACAGTATTTACTCCTTTATTCTCAAACTCTGTTACATTTTATTATAATGGACAACTTAATTTTTTAATTCAAAAAGTGAAACCTAGATTCTGCCATATACATACAGAAACTAAATCCAGAAAGGTAAAGAACTAAGTGAAAGCAAAGCAGAGCCAAAACCTTACCAAGAAAAAGCGCTTCAAGAGTATCAGAGCATATGAGAGCACTTCATAAACCTTAGCGTAGGGAAGGCCCTCCTGGATAAACACTAAAATGCTAATGCCACAGAGGAAATACAGATTTAGCTTACAGGAAGATTAAAAGTTGTGGCTAACAAAGATATCTTTTTAAGTGTTAAAAAAGAAAACAAAAATCATTAAAAAAAAGGTCTGGCAGGTAGTGTTTACAACATAGGTTGCACCATTCAGATGATAGGAAAGGTCTCCTACTGTTCAGTAGCAGAATTTGTAAAGGATATGAAGAAGCAGTCAAAGTGCAATGTAAATGATCAACATGAAAATCTGTTTGATTCATTAGTGTCCAAGAGTATGAAATAAAATGATTTGTCTTGTGCATCAATAGAAAAAATTCGAACAGTGATTATTTCATTATTCAAAAGATTTGAGAAATGTATGTTCTCATGTGCTTATTTGAACATGTGAAATGCGCAGCATTCAAATGTGCTATGATCTTGTCATTTATTTTATACTCGCTGAGTTTATGCTCAGTAACCCAGCAGCTCTAGTATTTGATGTCTATTCTGTGGACATTATTTGAACATATATAGCAAAATGCCAGTATAGTAATGCTTATTAAGCATTATTTAAATAGAAAAGTTAGAAATGCCTAAATGTCTGTCAAAGTAGAGATAAATAAAATAAAGTATGATATACTATACCATAAAATACTGTGACTGTTTTTTTGAAGTGATTTAGAACCCTATTGTTAACATGGAAAAATGGGTTCACACTAGTTTTGTGAAGTATTTGCAAAACACTAGTTTCAGTGAAAAATTCTAAAACATTTTGCATAACGTAGTTTAAAATTGTTTTTCTATGAGTGTGCAGATGGAAAGGAATAGAGAAATCTGAGTGCATACATGTTAGCCTCTTGGCAGTAGTGAACCAAGCAGTGGGATTTTTCTTTTTTTGGCGGGGGGCCCCACGAGAGCTTTTTGTGTTTTGAGTTTTTTAACTTGAATGTATTAATTCATTGTACAATTATAGAGGAGAAAGGAAATATGCTGGAGTTTTAAATGTTGCAGAAATGAAATACCAAATTAGTAAATATGCTCTGTGATATTATGTGTCCAAAACATTATGACAGTCTGTGAAAGTAGATACAGAGGTAAATGAGTTTACCTTGTAGTGTCTGGTAGTTTGGAGTTTAGTGTGAAAATGTCTAGGAGTGTGGGAATAGGGAGAATCAAAGAGCATTGATGGGAGACGCCAAAGCAGTGTGAACGCCTGAAGGGTCTATGGAACAGAAGAGATCCAAGAACATGAGGCCTGGAGGCTAAGGGAGGGGAACTTCTGACAGAAAAGGAGGAAAAAAGTGTCACAGCCAAAGAAGATGGAAACGGGTCATGGGACTTGGCAACTAAAACATCTTCTGTTTGTCAAACCCACCAAGTCCATCCTTTTAAGCCTCTGTGGTTTGTATATTGTTTTGTTTTTAAGGCAGCCCAGTATTCTCTGTTCCAAGAAGTACACACAGCTGACTCAACTGACTTTGTGTTTAAGGTCTCAATTTGGTGTTCGTCCTCTATGAGGCCTTCTCTGGCCGACCAATAAAAGTCAAGACACCATCTCCTCATTTACTCAATAAATATTTATTTAGCCTAGTATGTGCTAAGCAGTAGTGCTTAGCAATGTACACAACAGACAAAATCTGCCCTCTTTTGAAGCCTTGCAAACTATCACAAGATGTTTTTCTATAATTTTTGGCTTGAATTTTTCACTGTCTGAAAATCTTATTTGCCTATTTAATTTTCTGTTTCTGCAAATGAGGTCAAGAAATCGTATTGTTCTTATTTGCCAGTGTATTTCATGTGCATAGAACAGCTCCTAGGATGTAATTCTTGTTTGATAAGTGCTTGCTGAATGGATGGTAATGTTGGAGAGCGCTATTTCAATACATTGATGTATGTATTCCCTTACTGGTACAATAGCTGTGAATGGGGAAGGCAAGAAAAGCAGATGTAAATCTTTTGAGTATACCCTGGCACGTAAATGAGCTAAGACAGTGGCTTGATAGACATGCAATCGTAGTGCATTGCAGTTTGCTGTATATAGAGGAAATGTGGACATGGTGAATATGACCTGTGCAGCAGGGGAAAATGACCTAGCTCACTGATACAGCCTCCTTGAGTGGTGATTGTGTGTAATGGATATCTTCTGTACAGTGACTACATTAAACGGAGGCAAAGATCCAGGTGAGAGAAGGGAGTTGATCATCCAAGGGAGAAAGAGGGTGAGGTTACTCAATAGCATAGTTCCTGGGTTTTGTTGTTGTTGTTGTTGTTTTGTGGGGGGAGGATGGGATGAGGCAGGGTCTACCTGCAGCCCATCTGGCCTGGTACTCACTATATAGAGCAGGCTGGCCTCCATCTCACAGAGGTCCACCTCCTTCTGCCTCCTGAGTGCTGGTATTGAAGATATGTGCCACCATGCCTGGCATGGTGCCTATTTAAAGGATGAGGCCGCCTTAGAGGAAAGGTGGAAGAGAAGAGGAGAGGCATGGAAACATTGAAGTGGAGGGAAAGATGGTGGGAGAATGATTGTGGATAGTTTGAGAGTCTTACTATGTAGGAAGTGTTGCCCTCTACTGAGCATCAAGGAGAATGTGACAGACTTAATACTAGCAGTAAGGAAAGCTGTAACAGGCTGACAAGGAGCACAGTAAGGGTTTACTGATCAGAACTGCCTCTCATCACATACTTAAATGTGCTTTATTCAAGGAGTCTGTCTTATAAAATATTTATCATTTGTTTCCAATTAGTACATCGAAAATTTGGAAAAATGTGTTAAACTTGAAGTATTGAATCTCAGCTATAATCTGATAGCGAAGATTGAGAAGGTAGACAAGCTGTTAAAATTACGTGAACTCAACTTATCATATAACAGAATCAGGTGAGTAAAGCATACTTCTTTAGGTAGTGTAGCAGGGTCTTATTAGAGGGATAGACTAATGCAAACACGGCTCTGAAAGACTCCATTGAAGAGCAGGTGTTTTGATTCTTATTTATTGGTAATCTAGACCTTCACATCTGTCATCTGTCTTTATCCATTGGCATTACTTAAGTATAGGATAATATCTTTCTTTCTTATTCCGTTCTGGGCAGGAAATTTCTCTGGGTGTTAGCTGTGACCCAGTGCTTTTCACACAAATGATGTTGACTTTCAAAGGCATGTTGTAACCCTGAAGATCTCTGAATCATTTGATCTGTGTATTTATCCTCACAGTCTTTGCTTTTTGATTCATGAAATACACTACACATCTTGTGTCTAATTCAGAAACACATGAAGTAAATGAAGTAAAACCTAGTGCTGACTAAAGCAACATAGAGAAAATCATTACAGGGAAAGTAATGTAAGAATCAGGTCTTGAAAATCTTCATACACCTTTTCCCTCAAGCTAGACTTTTTAAATATGGTAGCCAAAAAGGCAAAGGAAAACAACTATACAACAGATGAAATGTAAAATACTGGTGAAATAGAATTCATAATGTAAAAACTGTGTAAAAAGGATTGATCTAATGAAAATCATTTCATCAAAATAAAACTGAAAATAGATAAGCTTAGGAATATTTGCCCTGTATAGAAAATTGCCCATGGAATTAAATTGATGACTATAGTTAATGTGAGGTATATATCTTCAATGAAAATTTAGTGAATTCATGGTACAGTTACCGTTTTTCAGTCTCCTGTGTTCGACTGACATAGTTTGTCTTTTATGACAACAATGTAATAATTGTGGCCATCTCTTGGGTAGGGGCTGTAATGCAGAAGTTGCATTGTCCAGCTCTCCCTTGGCTGAGTATTAGTACTCTTTGCAGTGGACAGTGATGCTGTCATGGTTGCCTTCTTTCCCGTGAGATAGTAGAGTATAATGAGAAGATGGAGAGAGAGAAAAAAAAAAAAAAAAAAGATGGGAGGGTCCCTCAGTGTGCTGAGAAAGGGTTGGTAGTTTAGCTTTGGCTATTCCAATAAACTTGAGTTTGGCCATTTTCTTTGGTTATCATTTAGAAAAAGAGTTAATTATAGTTATGAAAAGTAGTCCCCTGTGCAGTGAGGCTGTTTACTATACTATAATGAAAGAACTTTATCATTTTACTTACTAAATTTGATTTTGCTCTTTGGTTTCCAGCAAAATTGAAGGAATAGAAAATATGTGTAATCTGCAAAAGCTAAACCTTGCAGGAAATGAAATTGAACATATTCCAATATGGTTAGGGAAGAAGTTGAAATCTTTGCGAGTTCTCAATCTGAAAGGCAATAAGATATCATCGGTAAGTTACTCAAAGTAGCAAGATTTATTCTTAATTTTGATTTTCTAAAAAATATTTTATTTAGGCCGGGCATGGTGGCACAGGCCTTTAATCCCAGCACTTGGGAGGCAGGGACAGGCAGATCTCTGTGAGTTCAAGGCCAGCCTGGTATACATAGTGAGTTCAGGCCATCTGGGACTACAGGGAGACCTTGTGTCAAAAAGAGCAAAAAATAAAACAAAACAAAATTTTTACTTATCATTTTTATTTTATGTATAAGAGTATATTGCCTACATGTATGTTAAGTGCACCTGTGATATGTAACGCCCATGGAGGCCAGAAGAGGGTGTCGGATCCCCTGGAACTGGAGTTACAGTTGTTGGCCACTATTTGGGTGCTAGAACTCGAACTTGGGTCCTCTGCAAGAGCAGCCAGTGCTCTTAGCTGCTGAGCCCCAATTTTAATTTATTTTTAAGGTCTTTGTATATGTACATTGTATGTTGAGCATATTTCCCCTCATGTCCCCTGCCCCCCTTTCTTGCCCCTCCCTGCTCGAGCAGTCCCTTTTGTCCTCCTAAAGATTTAATTGTCAAAAGTTTGGATTTATTGGGAAAAAAGTTTTACATTTTTAAGTTGTTTTTAAAGAATGAGATTAATGTTCATATTTCATTGACCATATATGCCAAATTCAGATATAATGTAGCTTTTTTTAGCGTAATTAGATACAGTTCTCACTTTGTGTAGGTTCTGTGGTGACTAGGAATTGGTCTTAGCATTTTCACTTTGATCATTTTACTTACATCTCAAGAGGCTTATTGCCTGGTGCCTCACGTGTAATAAGTATGTAATGCATATCTATTTTAAATTTCTGAGTTATGGGAAAATTTATTCCCATTTTGCAAGTTAAGTATCAATTTAGTTTATATGTTTACTTAGAAAATGACTTCTGAACACCGGATGAGTAAGTATGGCACCTTACAGGTGTTACATTAGGTGTCACAACTCAAAGAATATTGATACAACTTAAAGAGCATTGTCATAGAATAGAAAAGGAAAGATGTGACTTCAATTATAGGCCTAGACTTCCTTTATGTGACCTTGGAAAGTCCCTTAATTTCTGTGACCTTGGAAAGTCCCTTAATTTCTGTGATATGTTTAAACTAGGGAAAATAATTTCTCTGTTGCCTCCTTTACAGAGGTGTTATGGAGCTCAAATAAAATGGTAGGTGCAAAACTGCTTCAGACACTTTAAAATGCTAAATAACTCTAGGGATATGTTCCTTAAGCCTTCATCTGTGAAGACAAATTAGAATATACAACATTTATTTAGTGTTTTAGTTGGTATTTATTTATTTTTGAGGGTTCTTTGAGATAAGATCTCTGTATGTTACCCAGGCAGGACTTGAACTTGAAATGCTCCTACCTTAGCTTCCTGTATGCTGGGATTACAGCGTGCTCCACCATACTTGTATAATCTTTGCTTTCTTAACTCATTTTTATGAAGCTCCAAGATGGTGACTCTCTACCCATTTTACTGCAGCAGCCCAAGAGCCTCACTAAATCCCATGTCATTTTGTGTAATATCAGCTAAGAACTCTTGAACCTTTAGGGTGGATGGGAGGAGGTAGTCATGAATTGAAAATTGGCCACAAATATTTCCCAAAATTCTTTATCTGTAATAGGTCATAGTGTCTGCCAAGTAACAGGAAAACATTCAATATTATTTGTAATCTTACATAATTTTCTCATCTATCTATTTGGGATTGGCATCATTAAGAGTGATCTACATTTACTGAGGAGAAATTATTTACTTGAATATTTAGTGTTTCTTGGGGGCTGGAGAGAGTGATGGCTCAGTGGTTAAGAGCACTGGTTGCTCTTGCAGAGGACCTGGGTTTGGTTCCCAGCACTCACATGACAACTAACAACTGTCTATAACTCCAGTTCCAGGGAATCAAGTGCCCTATTGTGGCCTCCGTGGGCATTGCACACACTTACATATATGTAGGCAAAGCAGTCATACATATAATAAAAATAAATAAATAAAAATTAAAAAGTTGTGTTTCTTAACCTAGGTTCTTAGAATAAACATAAGAGTCTTTAAAGAATGTATCCATACATATTCATGTGTTTCTTAACTATCAGTTATAACAGTTATCTCAAAATTTACCAAAATCTTTTATAACAATTCTTTTTTTCTTTCCTGGTCACTGTGCTTTATTGAAGGTCAGAACAATTCATTTTTTACTTATTTGATCAATAGAACATTAAAAAAAGGGTTTAAAGTGACAGACTTATAAGCCCTGAGCTTTAGGCAAATCACATCTCTGAACATCAAGTTCTTCACCTGAAAAATTCAAATGATACGTGATAGGTTTTGTGAGGAGTCACAGATGAACCGGTATGTGGAAAATGCATAATGCTGCCCCGGTGTACCAAGTACTCATATCCTCCCTTTCTGTCCCTTTCTTAGACCACTGATTTTGGGTAGTGAGTTTTATAAACAGGTTTCTTGTTAAGAGCAGTTCCCTTGATTTATGACTTCTTTTTTCAGTTGGTGATTTTAATTTTTCCAGTGTTGCTGTTATATCATTTCAGCTCCAGGATGTCAGCAAATTGAAACCACTTCAAGACTTGACTTCTCTGATCCTTGTTGAAAATCCAGTTGTGACCCTTCCTCATTACTGCCAGTTTACCATTTTCCACCTCCGTTCTCTGGAAAGTTTGGAAGGTCAGCCAGTAACCACTCAGGATAGACAGGAGGCTTTTGAGAGATTCAGTTTAGGTAAGATAACATTTAGAAAACAACAAAGAATAACCTTGTGTGAGGAAGGAATTTATCTTTGGAAGTTATCTACAAAGATACAGATTTTGTAATCGTCTCAAAGTTTGCATGGAAAATGGCACTGTGAGTCAGATAATTCATCAAGTGTCTGTTGAGCATATTCTATGCACCAAAAGCTCTGTGTATGGAAAATGATCTGAATATGGAAGTGAGAATGCAGTAGTGGGCAGAGTACATGGTGGTGGGCTGCATGCTGCTTACGTTTTGTAGCAAAGACATCTCAAAAGCATGTAAACAGAAGGTAATGAGCAGGGGAAAGAAATTTCTTGGTAGTGGAAAGTGATGACTCTGAGAAATAGCCTTTAAGCTGAAGACAAAGAGGAAAGAGGCTTAGCCATATGAAGAGTGGTGTTTAGTAACGCTGTTCTTTGAGGTTGTAGAGACTGATGAGTGCAGGGAGCTGAAAGATGAATAGTGTAAGGACAGCTCAGAGAGTAGATGGCAGGGTAGGCAGGTTGGAGGTGGTGGCAGGGCCTTGGGGTTTTTCCAGGTGCAGTGGAAAGCCATTGACAGTATGTAAGCAGGGAGGGGGCATGACTTCATTTACATATTCAGTGCATCATTTTGATGCAGAATGGAGAATAATTTGTAGCAGAACAAAAAGAGAAGGGGCCTGTTAGGAGGCTGTCACAATAATCTAGGTTAGAAGAGTTGGTGGCCTCTCCTTAGGTAGTAGATGTGGAGATGAAGAGTAGACCAATTTTGAAGGTAGAATCAGGAACACTTTCTAATGCGTTAGATAACTCTGAGGCTTCTGGCTTAAGTGGCTGGAGAGTGGGATCACTTATGAGTGTAAGAATTCAGTTTCATTTTGGGCATAATGAATTTGAAATGTCTGTGAGATAACCAGTCAGAAAAAAAATGGGAGTTTCGAGAGGCTTGATCTGGAGGTACAGGTTGAATATCCCCTAATCTTAAAACTTGATATCCAAAGCTTTCTGAGTTGCTGACACAGTGCTACATGTGGAAAATCACACCTGATACACTGATGTGGGTCACAATAAAAAAACAGGCATGTTAGAGGAGCTGTGAAAAGTTACTTTTGCTGTGCACACATAGGTGTGAGAAGAGGAAGAAGAGCAGCCAGCTGAGAAAACAGCACATGACAAGCCAGCAGGGCCAGTACAGGAAATGGGTTCAGAAGCCCAGAAAATATTTCAAGAGAGGAAGTGGTCACCGTGCTAGATGTAGCTAGTACATGAAGTAAGACAAGCACAGAGAAGGAAGGGCCTGGGAGTTCTTTGGATTGGGGATGATGGTATTGACCGAAGCAGCTGAGGAGGGATGGGAACTAATGCTAGAGTATAATGGCTTGAAGAATGGGGCAGAGATATTTGACTGAAGATTTGAAATTTCCAGCCATAGCTTCCACTCCTCTGATACTTAGTAATTGTGATTTTTAAGTTTAAGAGTTAAAATCTGACCAGGCGTGGTGGCGCAGGCCTTTAATCCCAGCACTCAGGAGGCAGAGGCAGGCAGGTCTCTGTGAGATCAAGACCAGCCTAGTCTACATAGTGAGTTCCAGGCCCTGTCTCAAGCAACAACAGCAACAAAAAGTTAATTAAAGTCCGAGACTAAAAATTCACCATTAGTTTCTGGGCCAGGAAATAGGAATGAGAAAAGTACAATTAACCTTAAAGTTTGTAGTAATGAAATGACTAAGGTCAGAAAGGAAAGATAAATTAGTTCATCCTTTGGCAGGAGGGACATTTTCTCCATCAAAAATAGAAAATGTGTGCAGGCATCCTTAGTGGTGGTGTTTTGGTGGTCAGAAAATAAGGGTACTCCTGCTGGTGGGGTCTTTCTTTAATGAAATGTGAGGCCATCAGTCAGAAAGAGACTGGATGGATCATGTGAGTTTGGAGGAGGAAGAGGGTGATATGAAATAGCCAGTTCATAGGACTGAGTAACCAGCCTCTGTTCAGCCATTTGAAATCAATGTTAGTCCACGTTTGACCTACAAAAGTGGCAGCTTCACAGCGGTGAAAAGGATCAGTGGGTAAAGCTTCCTGTGTAAGCCCGATGACCCACAGAAAGGTGGAACGAGAGAACTGACCTCCCAAACTTCTCTTATGACCTCCATGTTTGCCCACACAAACATCATACACACAGGGAGGGAGAGAGGGAGGGAGGGAGTTAAATCTAAAACAAACATTCCAGTTTCACATGGTTCTATCAAATGAAACAGCAAATTTTGATTAGTTTATAATCCCCCTAAGAGGGTGCTGGAGACATTTCTCAGTGGCTGAGAGCTGCTCTTCTAGAGGACCCAACTTCAGCCACCCATGTCAGATGGCTCAACAACCACCTGTAACTCCAGCTCCAAAGAATCTGACATCCTCTTCTGGCCTCCAAGGGCACCTGTACACACAGCAAGCACATACGCATAAATAAAAGTTTTTTAAAATATATATTTAGAATATCTCTAACAACATTTACCATCTTGTGTTTTTTAATCATAAACATATAGTGGAAATGGAAGTCATTATATAAATATTCTATTTGAGAAGATGTGTGAACTCTTCATGGTTTCAGATATTTATTAGGAGCCTTTAGTGTGCCAGGCTCTTTGGGTTCTGTGGTGAGCCAGACAGATGGCAGTTTCTGCTTTTCTGAAGCTTTAGTGGGGAAAGGTAGACAGACAGGCCATTAGCTATGCCTTAGCAGAAGGTAGTGTGCAGTCATCCCCAAGAATTGACTGACCTAGGGAAAAGATAGAACCAAGGCAATTTCTCAAAATGGTTTTTAAAGCTTAAGGTACAGGATGCAAAGTAGGGCCATAGAAGATAGGCCCAGAAAATTCCAGACAAAAGGTGTGACAGAACAGCTGGCTACAGGTCAGAAGAGGCATCGCAGACCTGGAGGATTGAGACTTGCAACAAGGTATGCTCCAGGATGAGGCTAAAGAGGGACACAAGGACTGCAGTGAGCACCTTGACAGCTCTGTAAGCTTTATGGCTCTTGTTCTCTGAGTCATAAGAAGCTTTGGTTATAATGTGGTGTTCCTTTTGCAGTGTCCTTGGAACTGAAACTGAGATCAATTTTATAAAGGGTGTGCTGGATAGCTTTAGTGTCAACTTGACACACTTGGGTTGAGGGAGCCTCAATTGGGGAATTTCCTCTATTGGACTGGCCTGTGGCCATGTCTGAGGGGCATCTTCTTGATGAGTGATGTGGGAGGGCCCAGCCCACTGTGGGTGGTGCCACCCCTGGGCAGGTGGGCCTGTGTTGCATAAGAAAGCAGGCTGAGCAGGGGCCAAGAGAGTGAGCCAGTGGGCAGCATTCCTCCATGGCCTGTGCTCCAGCTCCTGCCTCCAGGTTCCTGCCCTGAGTTCCTACCTTGGACTCCCTGATGAACTGCGACCTGGGAGATGTAAGCTGAATAAACCCTTTCCTCCCCAAGTTGGTATTGGGCAGGGTATTTTGTCACAGCAATGAAGAAACAACTAAGACAAAGGGGATTAGAGAAAAGTCTCATTTAAAATCGGCATGCTAAATATTTAAAAGTAAATAATCTTTTTAAAAAATTCTCTCCAATTTGCCTGGTCAGATGGCCCAGTAGGTAAAGGTGCTTGGCACCCAAATCTGACAACCTGAGTCCTATCCTCAGAACCACCTAAAGGTGGAAGGAGAGAACGTGCTGCACACAGCTGTCCTAGGACTTCTGCTTGCACACTGTGGTATGGGTATACTCATACACACGTATACTGGTAATAATTATAATAAAAATTCCCTCCAGAGAATACTGCTTTACTTCATGATATAGGTCAGATTTAAGCTCAAGGTAGTCTTTTTCCCAAATGATCAGAGTGGGAACTTTTAGATGCATAAAAGGAGAATTGTGCTATATTGTTCTTAGACTTATTTTGCTATTGGTTTGAGAAGTATATTTACCTCTTTTCAAGTAGAGGATATAATGGTAAATTGGCTATTATATTTTTATTGACAGAAGAGGTAGAAAGATTGGAAAGAGACCTGGAAAAGAAGATGGTGGAAACAGAGGAGCTTAAGAACAAACAAACCAAATTTCTTGAGGAAATTAAAAATCAAGATAAACTAAACAGATCATTAAAAGAGGAGGCCCTGTTACAAAAGCAGAGCTGTGAGGAGCTAGAAAGTAAGCTAAACACCAAAAATGAATTGGTGAGTCTGGGTTTTACATTGCTTTCGCTGTATTCCCTTAACGTGCAGAATCTTTGCTCTAATGACTTGGGAAAATCTGGTTTAATAGGAATGTGGACAAACGGCATTACACACTATGGTTGGCTATGTACTATGCTGCCCACAGGCTACTGTGTGAAGTGTGGTGTACAGCACAAAAGGGGAACATGATGCCTCGCACTGTGAGGAGTTAGTGATGCTGTTTAGTGGTTTTTAAATAATGTTATAGATAAGACTGTATGTTAGCAAAAAATTTAGAAGACAGTTTGGCAAATTGATCCAGATTTTAAACAGATACACCCAATGTCCCAGAAATTTCCTTTTCCAATAATAAATTCTATAGAAATGGTAGCAGGAATGTGTAAAGACAAACACACATATGTACAAGAGATAGTTACTATAATGTTGTTCGTATTAGCAAAATTTTCAGACAACTGAAATGTCCCTCATTGGGCATCTATGTGGTAGAAGAGCATGTAGCTAGTAATAAAATGAGATACGGCCCTGCATCCTGACACAGACGGTGCCTGATACATTGTACTGTGTGAAAAATACCAAGATGTGAAATAATAAATCAAGTACGGTTTTCTGTTGCATAAAACTATATTTACTTATGCATACTATGCATATAGTGCATATACATATACTACATGCATAATAGTATATTTTGGGGAAAACAGGAGTCTACTCATCAAACAGTAGTTATTTCTGAGTAGAATTATAGAACATTTTCAGGTTGACCTTTATGAATATCTTTAATGTCTAAATTTTATGTAATTTGATTTTATGGCCGAAATGGGGGAAAGATATTAAAATGTAGAACAGTTTGGACAAACAGGAAAAAAAAATTTGGACAAAATGAGGTAGGAGAATTTGAGGTAATTGACTGAGAGGCTTGAAAGGCCTTGAGACCATGTTATGAGGAACGAGTAAAAGAATAGGGTTGTCCAGGCTGGAGGAGACTCAGTGAGCTGTGATGGTTGTGGTTGTTACATGAAAGAAGAATTAGAGTTAGAAATCAGGCCTCATAGGGCTGGGGAGATGCCTCAGCAGTTAGGGGCACCCGTTGCTCTTGCAGAGGACCCAGGTTCAATTCCCAACACCCACATGGTGGCTAACAGCCGTCCGTAAGTCCAGTTCCAAGGGAATCCAGTGCCCTCTTCTGACTCTGCAGGCATTGCATGACACAGGTGTACTAACAACACATGCAGGCAATACGCTCATATACATAAAATGAAAACAATAAACTATTTAAAAGAAAGAAATCAGGCCTCCTGAGAGAAATTAAATACCTAGTAAATGAAATTATAAGAGACATGTTTTCATTTAGTAATAAACTTCTAATCTCCTGAAATAAAACGTGTTAGAGTCTGTTTGCTGTCCCTGAAACATGCAGAGGCTTTGTCATATGCTAAGGGTTTGAGGGAAGGGCAAAGAATATTAAATGGGAAAGTCGACTAAGTGACCTTAAAAACCTTTTCAACCAGGTGTGGTGGTACATGCTTTTAATCCCAGGACTTGGAAGGCAGAGGCAAGGGGATCTCTGTTGAGTTCAAGGCCAGCCTGGTCTAGATAGAGAGTTCCAGGCCAGCTGGGGCTACAGGGACCAAAAAAAAAAAAAAAAAAAAAAGACCAAAAAGAAAGGGAGTCTTGTTACTGCTTTTGTTTTCCATTTCTGTAATTGCTGGAGGGTCGAATATTGTATTTATTGGCTATTTTGTCATTCTTTTAAAAATTGCCTGTTTATACTATTTTGGTTTTTTGTTATTCCAAAGCACTACTATACATTTAAAGGAATTCTAGGTCTTTTGAGAGCTTACATTTGACAAACATTCCCCATTATCTTTTGTAGAATAGATGATGATAATATCACCTACAATTATATAATGATTTCTGCTTTTATTCCATAATTGTTCATACATTAAGCCAGTTCCTTTATAAGAGAAAAGTCACATTCACTTAAGTCTTCTGGTGGCCATCTAAAGTGTAGTAGTCCTCTCCCCAGCGCCAAGTACTAACTGAACTTGCTCTTTATCTTATTGCAAGCTGTTCAGGTCTTATCTTCCCATGTTCTAATTGTAATGAGGCTGCTGTGCTCATTCTGCTGCCTCATAGTCTTATGAGGATTTAATGAAGTTCTAAGTCTGAAATGACTTCAAGTAAATCAAACTAAGTAATGAAAGGTGGTAAACTTATAGCTCAGAGAGATGTATTGCTGTAAGAATAACACCAGTACCAATAACCATACCGTCCTATGGTAAGTTACCAATAAAAAAAGAGAAGCTTCTAGCGTCATAGCACCTGATTCTCTGTAGTGCTCGCTAGGTGACAATGTCTGTTGTTCTTTCTTCTTTTAGCCCTTATCTTGGTTTCTTGCAGGCCCTTTCTGCCGAGTCTTTACTCTCCCTTAAAGGTAGTTCCTTCAGGAACTGAACTGCACACTGGGTTTTGTGGTTTGCATGATAAATCATGTTAATACGCTTGTCTGTATTTTAAATTTTGAAATTGGTTTGCTGCTTTGGAGGATGTGTTTGTGTTTGTGTGTATGATTTTTTTTTAATGACTGTATATAGAAGAGCGAATTTGAATGTGAGGGACACTTTGTATTATTTTTCCTGTTTGTAAATATGTTGACTGCAGCCATCTCTTGACTATTCATAGCAATACTGCATTTGACTCCTAGTCTCTTCTCATTTATGCACTTCTTCCAACAGATATTTGTGGAAGGCTTATTACAATCCAAGCCTAGAGCTATGGAAAACACCAAAGCACTTGAGAGTACATTGTTTAGAAAGCATCCATGCACATTCTATGGTTCAGTCACAGCTGCCTTTATCTTGTCCCTGTTGTCAATTTGCTTTGAGAAGAAAAGCCCAGCATTAGTCAGTGCTGCTGATTGTGAATTGTTCCCTGAGACTCAGGGCTTTTTGAGCATTCAGTGACAACAACAATGTGGGTAGTGCCCTAGACACCCTGCAGCCGGATATGGAAGCGTGGAAGGGAGTGCTGCCTTTCCCACCAGCTGTGCACCTAGCAAGTCACTTCAACCTCTGCAGCTTTTGTCATCGCATAGTGGAGGTTAAAGACTGGGTGAGAGCATACTTAAATCCTGTAGCACAGCAACTGGCACTCGGTGAGAGCTCGGATCAGAGTTCTCCTGTCCAATGAATACTCAGGAGGTGACTGTAAGCTAAATCATGCATGATTTTGATTTCCTGGCCTTGCGAAGTGTTCATGTGTATGTTTTCCTCTTTTCAACTGCATTTTCATATTAATGAAATATTTCTGCATGGGTTTTTTTTTAGTTTTTTTTGGGGGGGGATATGATTTCAACTAACAAACACTGCCAAAATAAAAAGACAAAAAAAAAAATATATCACTTAGTGGACCTTTGAAATGAACTCAGAGAATTGGTTTAATAAGTAACTTTTAACAAATCAGTTCACCAATCTGAGACTCATTTCTGTATTCCTAAATTCAGAGAATTAGATTGTTTTTACCTTTTCCTCCTAACTTCAAAATCTCCAAGAGTAACTAAAAGTTGTCATTAGAGCAAAAGTATTTCATTAAAAGTGGTTAATAGTGGCACATGCCTTTAATCCTGACACTTGAGGGAGGCAGAGACAGGCAGATCTTTGAGGTCTAGGCCAGTCTGGTCTACATAGCTCCAGGCAGTGAGTTCCAAGCCAGCTAAGGCTACAAGGAGACAAGTCTCAAAACAAACAAACAAACAAACAAAAAATCGATTAATACCATATATTTGCATCTGATTGGGCTTTTTTACACATTTTTTTACCTCTCTGCTTCAAAAAATAATATTCTAGCCCAGCATGGTGGCAGACACCTGTAATCTCGGCATTCAGGAGTCTGAGACAGGAAGATCACAAACTCTAGGCTGCCTGCCTGATCTGTAGAACAACTTGGCAAGCCTGGGCTACGTAGTGAGATGATGTCTCAAAAAACAACTGGTCAACATGAAAGGAATAAGTGATTGCAAAGTGCTTAACTCTGGATGGGACACCTGTATCAAACACCCATCTCCCAAGGCTCAGAGATCATTGTGGAAGAGGGGGCAGAAAGATTATAAGGGGAACTGTTGGCAACTGATAGCTGCTGGAAGAAGGGAGAGGCAGTTTTCTTTAGGGTATGATGCTGGGTAGGTTGACCAGGCTCTAGGAGATGGACCCACACCAAAGGGCATTTGGGGGCGCAGATTAGATGTGATAGGCTTCTAAAAAAGTAGTAATAGGGACTGGAGAGATGACTCAATGGTTAGGAGCCCTGGCTGTTTGTCCAGAGGACCCATTTTTGATTCCCAGCACCCACATGGCAATTAGCAACTGTTGGTAACTCCAGTTCCAAGAGATCTAGGGCCCTCTTCTGGCCTCTGTGGGCATTACACAACATGAGTGCACTTATATACAGTCAGGCAATACACTCATAAACTTAAAATAAAAAATAAAAAAAATAGTAATACTAATAGGAGGACATGAAATTGGTCAAGGAATAATAAGGAGGTATAGATAGGGGAGGGGTCTATGATCAAAATACATTGTATGTAATTCTCAAATGTTCAATAAAAATATTTTTTAAAAAAACAAACAATACATGGAACACTTACAGCTAAGCTCCATTAGTCACAAGTTCTATAGCAATAACACTGTGATTAGAGCTAATATTCTTCCTCCTCTTCAGTCTTCTTTCTCATCCTCTGTTGTTACTCTCAGATATTATTTCTCTCCATGGTTTGAAGTTGTCTTAAAATCAAGGAGTAAGTTAATTACTGCTAATAATTGGGAAACCAGAAGCAGGTACTACAGAATGATTGTTGCAGTTATTTTCATTTTGAGATGAAACAAATTTAAATGACTTGTAAAATCTTTATCCTGAGATAGCACATAAACTTCAAAGGTCTTTTATGTGATCTCTTCTGAAATGCTAATTCTCTTTCATTTGTTGTAATGTAGTATTAAGATGAGATATTCTCAGTGTTGTGCTGTTTGATGTAGTTGTGATGTGAACTGCTCATATTGTTAACCATTGCACTACCTTACTGATGCTGATTCATCTCATATTGGACCAATAGCTAAAGCAGAAGACAATGGAACTCACTCGAGCCTGTCAGAAGCAGTATGAGCTGGAGCAGGAATTGGCCTTTTATAAAATTGATGCTAAATTTGAACCATTAAATTATTATCCATCAGAGGTTAGTTTAATTTTTAGTAATCTAAAATTAAAGTGAGGATGGTGGGATGAATGAACATTCAAGGGACTTTTATAGCACTAATTACTCCATTTTCTTTTTCTTCTTTTTTTTTTTTTTTTTTTTTTTTTTTGTCTTTTTTGAGACAGGGTCTCCCTGTAGCCCCAGCTGTCCTGGAACTCACTATGTAGACTAGGCTGGCCTTGAACTCACAAAGATCCGCCTGCCTCTGCCTCCCAAGTGCTGGGATTAAGGCATTTGCCACCACACCTGGCTCTTTTTCTTCTTTTTAAACTTTATTATTTTTATTTTATGTGTATGTGTGTATTACCTACATGTATCTAAGCACACCCATGGTATGCAATGCCCATAGAGGTCGGAAGAGGGTGTTGAATCCCATGGAACTGGAGTTACACATGGTTGTTAGCTTCCATGTGGGTGCTGGGAACCATACCCGGGTTCTCTACAAGAGCATCCAGTGCTCTTAACTGCTGAGCCATCTCTCTAACCCCTCCAGTATCTTTAAAAAATGTTTTAATTATATTTATTTGTGTATGTGGGGAAGCATGTGTGTGGAGGTTAGGTGACAACTTTCTATGATATGTTTGCCATTATTAAATAATGGCATTTGACTGGAAGTTACTTCTTAATCCACAAATCCATTAATATGCTTGCTTTTAGTCTGATGAAATTGATAAAGTCCCAGATGAAAGCCCTTACATTGGCAAATCCAGATACAAGAGAAATATGTTCGCCACCAAGAGTTACATCGTCAGTGGTGCCCAAGCAGTTGAGATCAAGAAGCTGGAGCCTAATGAAGAACAGCCTAGCAGTGAGCATGTGCCCTTGAGAGCCCATGCACTGCAGGACGTACAACTGGAAGACACAGAGAAGAAAATAAGTGCAGGTTGAACAGTTATTCTTAAATTCTTAAAAACACAAGTCTGGGGATGTAGTTCAGTGGTAGAGAACTTGCCTAACATGTACAAGCCCCTGGGTTCAGCATCCAGCACAACAAAAAATAATACATATGTACATTAAATAATTGGATATGCAAGCCAATTTTGTTTTATAATTTTTAATTAAGCACATTAATGGTATTGTTTACATGAGAAGTCTAAAGCAACAGCAGTGATTTATTGAGCCTGTTGGTTTTTAAGGATTGTGGTTGAGAATCAGGTCGCTGACCATAATTTGATGGCAACAAATCCAGTGACTCGATCTAAGAGTGTAAATCCCATCCTGCCAGCAGACACTGGAACGACATGTTTAACAGCATAATTAATGACTGAAGCCAATAAAGAACTGCATTCATTGATTATTATGCATGTGTCCAATAAACTTCCAATAAGTTGGACTAGAGCACTGTCTTTTGGCCTGGACCTGAGGCTGGCCTCTGTGGATGTGGAAGAAAGGGAGCCCTGACTCGAGTTTGTGCATCCTGATAGTAGTCAGGGTCCACTGTGGGACTCTCACTGATCAGACTAGTAGCATATCCTCGCTTGTCTGATAGTTACATAGGAGGCCAGTAGAGCTGATTTGACGAGAGGAAAATTGATTTCTTTTTTGCATATATTTTATCCAAGGCTTTGGAAGGGGAAAGCAAAGATAAATGAGACATATGTGCAGACTGGCTGCCTGGGGCTCACGGTGCGTAGGAGGGTGACAGAGAGGGAGAAAGCAAACCAAAATTTGCCATAGAAAGTAATTGAGTTGAGATCACCTCCAGAGGTGAATTCCTTTTTTTCTTTTCTGTGTTTCTTTCCTTTCCTTCCTTTTCTTTACCCCTTTCTTTCTCAGTGCTGGGAATCAAACCTAAGGCCTTGCACATGCTGTGCTTCTCCACTGAGCTCCATCTCCATCCCTCCAATGGTAAATTTCTTAATAATAAGTTCCATCACAAAGCATTTGCCCATAACAGAGGTTGTTGTTAATATCCCAGACCTAATTATGACTTAGTAACCTGTTAAGTACCCACTTTACAAAGAAACTCTATTCTCTTAAGATGATTCACTGGTGTTACAAAAAAATCAAGTAAAGCCCTTTTCATGTTAAGAAGCTTAGAGTAGGGGACTGGAGAGATGGCTCAGCAGGTTTGAGTCCCAGCACCCACATGGTGGCTAACAAGGGTCCATGTGACTCCAGTTCCAGGGGATCTGATGTCCTCTTCTGACCTCCACATGCTTTGCATGACATAGATGTGCTTACATATATACAAGGAATACACTCATACACATAAAATGAAAATAATAGGGTTCTTTTTCTTTTTGATTTTCTCTCTGCCATCAGAGCCGTTGGCATTCATCAGCGATGTCAGATGTCTAAATAAATTATTTTTTACAAATAAAAAAAAAAGAATTTTACATATTTTTTTACAAATATTTTTTACAAAAAAAGAATTTTACAAATAAAAGGATCAATTACAGTTCTATAGACTAGCATGAAACAGTTTAATAAACAGAACTTAACAGAAATGAATGCCATCATAAGTCATTCTTTTTCAAAATTTTCACGTTCTATAACGAAACAGTTGAGAGGGAGGAGATCATTGCAAAGAAATAAAATCTGGTAAAATTTTCAGAATTCAAAATGTTTCTCATGCATGTATGTGAGCATTGTTTCTAAATTTGTAGCGCAAATTCGCCTGTCAGAGCTACATGATGAAATAGAAGCAGCAGAACAGAAGATTTTAAGAGCTACTGAAGAATTTAAGCAACTGGAAGAAGCTATACAACAAAAAAAGGTGTGTGACTGCGCAGCCCTACTAGAAAATCGAAAAGAGAGCTCTGCTTTTGCTTACACAGTCTTCACCTCTATGTCCTCTCTAAGTCTGTCCATAAAGGAAGGACACATATTCATTTTGTACATGACTCAGGACCCAGCCTAGTTAGGGATAGGTATATAGTTCCTTTATATATATATATATCATAGAATTTTATATAACGATATAAATTTTTTAATTGTTGAATAATTTCAGAGTCAAATATGGTTGTAGTATTTCTCAAGTATGTTTTTTTCTTTTACTCATGACAACACCCTATTAACATTTAATAAAATGTTTAGAAATGTTACATGAAGTTTACACAAAAAGGTGTATTCCATCTACTCATATTATATTGCTTCCTGATGTATCTCTTCTAACTTAACTAAGTGCCCTCCACCTTTAAGATCCTGGGACCCAGGTTAAGAATCAGACAACTCCTCTGCTGTAGCGTGAACATTATCAAACACAAGAGAGAGGAAAAAACAAACAAACAACCAACTACTTTCAGCAATTAACATAGGTGAAATTTTCAAAAAATGAGTTTTGGCATTTTCATTTTTAAATGTACAATAAGTTGTAATTATTACAGCTTATAGACCAGTATTTCAAAATGACAGTCACAACCACACTCATATCATAGTAGACAGAACAAAGATGTGAAGTCCCAATCACAAATAAACAGGTACACTGTAATGTTACATTCAGATTGGCTCAGTTTTATTAGGAAGGAACTATATGCCTATCACTGACTAGGCTGGTTCCTGAGCCATGTACAACATGAATATGTGTCCTTCCTTTATTGGCAGATTTAGAGAGGAAATAGACAATGAACAAGTTGAGAAAGTAAAGGATACAAGTTAAACAGTGTCAGTATTGTAGGGAAAACATAGGATTAGGAGAGATCATAAACAGATATAATTTAGATTGTAGAAGTGAAGGGCTCTGAGAAAGTGATGTTTAGGCTGAGGCATGAAGGATACAAAGGAGCTAGTGAAGGAGAGTTATAAGAAAGGGTCTTCCAGCAGAGCTGATAGTCTGTAAAAAGCCCTAAGAGTGAAGATTCCTCTGCCGAATGAGGGAGACTGGGGTAGGAGTTGAAGTTAAGAGTCATAGGTTAAAGGTAACATCAGGCTTCTCAAACTATTTTAAGGAACTTGAATTTTGTTCTTCTTGCAGCGGGAAACCTTTGAAGGGCTTTGAGTAATAGAATGGTGGATCCTATTTGTCTTTATGGAAAGTCATGTTGGTTACTGCATACAGGTGAAACGGGATGAGGGAGATGGAGGAATGGAGATTGGTGCATCGCTTAGGAGGCTGGTGTTCAGTAGTCCAGGCAAGAGATGTTATGGCTGGCACAGTGAACCAGGGAAGTTGAGGTGACCATGAAGAGAAAGTCACCTGATTCTAGGTTACACTGGCAAGAGACAGAGCTTCCAAATGAGGGACCTGTCAAGATGGCTTTAATAGCTGAGTAAGAGTGTTTTTATAATAGCACCAGACAAAGCCTTACAAAGATAGACAGAAAGGAGCTGGAGAGATGGCTCAGTGGTAAAGAGTGCTTTCTGCTCTGACAAGAGGATCTGAGTTCAATTCCCAGTGTCCATGCAGTGCTGCTTATTAACTGCTTGTAACTCCAGCTCAGGGGGATCTGACCTCCGTGGTCACCTACACTCATGTACACATACCCCCACATAGACATACATGCATACACATGATTAAAATAATAAAAATAAAGGCCGGCCGTGGTGGTGCATGCCTTTAATCCCAGCACTCGGGAGGCGGAGGCAGACAGATCTCTGTGAGTTCAAGGCCAGCCTGGTCTACAGAGTGAGTTCCAGGACAGCTGGGGCTACAGGGAGACCCTGTCTCAAAAAGACCAAA